CCCAACCAATAGTAAGTGACATTGTTTCTATGCCATTGTCTCTTTTCTGATAATTCGCCTCTGGTGACAGGTCAGCATACTCGTGAAAGTCGATCGTGCCTTGACCTTTGACTTCTTTTTTAGTCTTTTCGGATGTTTTAGTGATATTCCAAGCTCCTCCATTATGGCATTGAAAGAAAGACACTGTGGATAGAAGAAAACATGCATTCAGCAATATTTCATTGCAACAGTAGTTTATATACTACAAAATCTTGTGAGTTGATTCAGCGATGGACTTTGGGAACCTCGGTGATGACATCTACCCACTGGTGTTCTCATTTGTGCCCCATCCTCAACATAAAGCCTTAATACCTTCCTTTGTTTTCTCCTTAACCATTTCAATTCCGGGCAGTTTTACACCTCCCTGCCCAGGCCATTTTTCAGGTTTCAGCGCTCTCACACTTTGAATGACAATTGCGCAGTCATACAACATTGTACCCAAACTAAAATTTAATCATTTTCTTCACACAAATAGAGCTTTCTTTTGGTGGTATTTAATCGCCGCTGGGGTTTTTATTTTTTGCTAAATTAACAAAAAAAAGACCAAAAATTTTGAAAAAAAAAAACACGTTTTTCTTTGTTTCTGTTATAAAAGTTACAAATAAATAATTGTTCTTCATAAATTTAGGCCAAGATGTATTCTGCTACATGTCTTTGGTGAAAAATAACCCAAATTAGGATGTATTATTTAGTTTGTAGGAAAGTTATAGAGTTCACAAAAACTATGGTATAGATCTGAAAATTGATCAATCCTGAAGTACTGACAGCCAATCTAATTTCTTGAGGTCCAAGAATGTCAGAACAGTACAGATATCCCCCAAATGACCCCTTTTTGCAGAGTAGACAGTCCGACGTACTTCATAAGAGGAATGGCGAGTTTTTTGAAGTTGTATTTTTTTTTGTCATAATTTTTTGGAAAATGAAAAAAATAAAAAAATATTATTTTCACTATTTTTTTTTTACATACTGTCACCCAGTGCAGTACAGCGTCATCATATTACTGGCATGGCGGTGATCAGGGGACACTGACTGGTGACAGTATGAAAAAAAAAAAAATATATATATATTTTTTTTTTTATTTTTTATTACATCTTTTTTTCTAATTTTTTTTAAGGATTTTTTTTTTTTTCATATTTTACTATGACCAAAGTAGTACAATGTGAGTACCATAGTAACAATTGTACTACTTTGGGGAAGTGATCAGTAATTTTTTTTTTTTTTTATACACAATTTGCTTATAGCAAAGAATTACTTTGCTATAAGCATGCATTTACCTGAAATATACATCGATTCATTCAGGTTTTTTTTTTTTTTTTTTTTATTTTTTTTGTGCTTAGCTGTGATTTAGGGCCACAGCTAATCACATGACATGTTGGCATGTGACTGCTGTGACCATTCACAGCTAGGCACTAGTATACAATGGATGGCATGAATGAAGCCCATCCATTGTATACAACTGCTCATGTGACCTGCTGGTGATTGGTTACAGCAGGTCACAATGGCACACCGGCAACGGGGCCAGTACTCAGCATCTGTCATCGGAACCGTGTCTGAGGTACACGGCTGGTGACAGTATCGCGCCGCTGCAGCGCGCTCTGCAACCGCACGAACTTGCGCGCATGTGTTGCGGTGAGACGCCAAATGGCGTATGACCCCCCCTGAAATCTACAGCATTTTTTGCGGCCCCCATTAGCGCCCAGCCAAACGGCTATAGGACAGGCGCGCGGCCCGGCTAATGGTTAAATATATCGACATCCAACCACAGCAAAATAAAACGCGTTCATTATTTAGTTAGCAAGCATACCTATGACACAAAATACATTTACATTTCCATCAAACGTGCTACATTGTACAAGGGAAAGGTGCGTTCCTCTGATATTTCCCATATATGGTAGCTAGATACCGGTCAACAGAGTGCCCACTTCTGTGAAAAAGGTGACCGTCTCCTTCCTACTCACCGCGGGCAGTTCTTAGGAGGAAGGATCATATGTGACATTATCACAGCAAGAGCTAGTGAGGGTTAAGACCGTAGTGCAGTTGCATACAAGGTATGTGTGCCTCGAGAACCCTGACTCTGCACACCCATTTGCCCCCTTCTCATCAATTGGTTTGCTTAATTCTTGGCCCACCACTACCTAAAAAGATGCATTTCAGCTTTAAATGCGATGTCCTGAGGGACTAAGAATATGCTGGGACAAAAAATGTAAAAAGTGGAAAAAGCGAGTTGCTGGCAAATGAGTCGGGGGAATGGGCATTTACCATATTACTCTCTTGTCCCAGAGAAGGCTTTAAAGAAAAAGCCTATAATTGAAAGTTTTTTAACTAGTTTAGGTACTCCTGTGAGGCAAAAGTATCATGCAAGTACTTTTTCTATATATGCATTAGGTGCTTCCTAACCTAGCTATAGCCTTTGGATTAGTGCCCCCCATTCCCTCCTCGGGTCTGGTCCGATAACAAAGCCTAGAACAGAGACACCACTTCATAATGGGGCGTGCTTGTCATGTGCTCCTAACATTTTTCCACACAACAGTGGCAACAGTATTGCAGAAATGGGAGAGGACCACTGTCATTCTTAAGAATATAGCCCCGAAGGACGGTTAGAAAAATGCTCAAAGTTGTGACAAGCATAGTTGGCAAAGAGCGGGTTGGGCATTTAAGAAAAGAGTCCATCCAGTTCAACCAATAAAAAACCGAAACAACTAAATAAATAAAAAAAACTGTTTTGTCTCCTGTGAGGCTAACATCACAATCTTATACCACACATGTTGATCCAGAGAAGGCAAAAACCCTAATAAAGCATGATCCAATTTGCTTCCCAGAGGGGGGAAAAATCCTTCCTAGGGAATCAGATATTCCATCAACTTTGCCTAAGGAATATTAGATATGCCATTATCTATAATCCAGCATGCAAATCCCAGGCCTTTTTAAAGACCATCTAAACATATTTCCACACAAGCCAGTAGGCAACAGTAATCTGCGCAGAGGAGAGGAGCAACTAGAATAGCCAGGCCCCTCTTGTTGGGGAGTTAGAAAAATGCTCAAAGATCTGAGACAAGCATAGCTTTGAGTTCTGGTTGAGAAAAGACCATCCAGTAACCCAGTAGTAAGTCTACTCCAGAACTCCTTATACCAGATCCTTCTCCCACCATAATGATTCCATGATCCCAGTTCCAGAGGGGGACCCCCCTAGAGGGTATCATTATGCTGCATGCATATTCTTATAGTATCCCCAATGCATAACCTTCTTAACCATGAGCTATCAACATTTCCTACTCCAGAAACTTTTGCCACAAGATCCTTGCTCCACCATTGATTGAGGTCCCCCAGTATGTAAGTTGGAGCTTTTCTTCTTTAAAACAAACCTGTATTTTAGGGATTCCTTTTAATTAAAATGATTGTAAAGGCAGATTTGTTTTCTTAAATAACAAGCATGTTATACTTACCTGCTCTGTGCAATGGTCTTCCTCTTCTTGGGTCTCCTGGCCCCTCCCTCCTGCCAATTGCCCCCATAGCAAGCACCCTGTTTCCCAGTTATTGAGAAGCCATCCTTGTCTTTATACTCTATTTCAGCTTACTTTGGGGGAAGCTATCTCAGAGCTGGGATTACTTTTTAAACTCTGGTCCTGCAGGACAATTGGGTCTATATAAAGTGGTACTGTGTATGTCCATTTTGGCTAAGTTTTCCAGAGTGATTAACTTTTGTACACACCTACTATTGTTTCTTTTTGTACCTGCATTACTTTTACTCTTTTTGTTCACTTTAAACTGTGTAACTATTTTCACAGCCAGGTGGTTCTCCCAGTCAAGGTTATACAGTGGTGTCAGCAGAGGCTGTGCTCCAAATCAGGCTGAGAGAGAACAGGGACCCAACATACTCAGTGGCTCTTTAGTGGGTAGCTCTACATCTACAAGAGTAAAATCGTGGCTAAAATCCGGCTTTAAAGCATTTTGTTGTGATCATTGAGACTTCATAAGTTCACATTTAAAGCATCTACAAAGGTCAGGGGTGGCTTGCTTTAAGGTGGCTGTAAACCTCAGACAAATATGAACAAAGCGTATCCCTCTATAGTGTGTACCTGTCTCTATCCAGAGCACCATGAGTCATTTCTCTCTGCTGCCTCGTTCCTCTGCTATCTGCACGAGTCTGACTTCTGATAAGTTTCCTGACAGAGCAAAAATGTGACTGGGGAGGGATCACCAGCACACAGCCTGTGATTGACAACTTCAGCTGTATTCCTGTGTGGTGTGTGGAGGGGGGTGTCCCTCTGCAGAGTGTAACTTCATCTCTCCATACCCTTTTTTCTTGCAAGCCAGATAAGAATGTATACATTCTGCACTTTTATGAGATGTAGAGAGGAGAAGACTGCAGATAAAATAGGTACAACTTATGTAGGGGGATTTGTTTCATTTCTGTGTATCACCTGAGGCCAATCACTTCACTGTGTATATGTAAGGGTTTACTACCACTTTAAAGCCAATCAGTAAGCACTAGAGTGAAACGCGTTGGGATGCCTGTGTTCCAGGTGGAACAGTCTGTAGGTCAGAGAATGAAAAAACTTGAACAAGGTTTTTAAAACAGTGATCAGCTTCCCTTCTTCTTTGTGAGCTTTTTTGGATGGATTCTTTGTAGTGGTCATTGACCGCTGAGGGCCAGCGGAACATTATCTCTTGTATCACCTGGCTGTTTAATTCAATCGCTCCAGATCTTAAACTCAAAAGCACATTGAAAACTGACCTAAAAATCACGTGAACACGCAAAGGAAATGCATGGTAACACAGGACAATGCCCCTGCCTAATGCTGCAAAAATATGCACCTCTGCATGCGCGCATGGATCATTCCTGTAAATGAAGGGGGGAGGGTGAATAAGACTTTAGATGGGCTTTTAAAGTGTTAAAAAAACCCAGGACCCTGCATTTACTATATCTGGTCTCCCACAGTACACACAATATGGAAATGCAATTATTTTAGTAAATATAAACTGCTAACTACCTTTTCTCATCAGCAGTTAGAGCAGTCTTGTGGCTTCTATCAGTGTCCAGCTGAGCACTGGTTAAACCTTATAGGAGGAGTTTTCTTTCTGCTCTAGGAGGATGCAGAACCCCTGACCTCTGTCTGGACAGTGCTGATTGGCCTTGTGCTGATCACATGCACTCTCCCAAGAAAAAAAAAACCTCTGTAGCAACACACACTAAACTGAGCATGTGCAGAATGGCTATGGGTTCAGTCTGTTTTATCAGGAGATAAGATGTGGACATTTGAAGAAGAGGAGGATCAGAGAAGACAAAATCAAATGGCCTTTTTACACAATGCAGATGATTAACCTCTTAGGTTCCACAGTGAGTATAACAAGCATGCTTTACTTCATATACAGACTGATTGTACTGTTGTGGGTTTAGTAACACTTTAAACTCTAGCAGTGAGATTTACACCCTTGTTAATGGTCGGGGAAGGTGCACATGGTACATCTGCGTCAATAAACAATGACGATTCAACCTGTCTGCAGCTACCCAAAATGAAAATGTTTTCTTTGGACTAACCCTTTAAACAATCGGTTTCATTAAATGTATGGAGGGTTCACAAAGGCAGCCAAGAAACATACATCATCTGTGACAAGCACACGCTTGTCTTATTTTTTTTTTTTTTTTTTCACTTTATTTGCGAAAGTGATTGAAAAATACATATCTTGTAAAATGAGGAGTAATCACATGAAAGCCGGCTATGTAATTACCTAATGCTTTGCACTTCCCCTGTGCTGGACAGATAACTGATGTGTGTTCCAAATGGTATATTCGGTTATTAATTGAAGGAATGACTGTCATGCAGTTCACTCCAAGCCGTAATGGAAAAACAGTAAAAAGGTTGGCTTTCCGTTAGTTAAGTGTCAAACTGACTGCTGTAGTTGACATGTCTTGCGCTTTTTTTTGTCCTCGAGAGAAGATTACACTGAATCAGAAGAAATGAAGCCATGACTCTACCAAGATGGCCACCTCTACCCAGAAATCAGTGCAGAGCAAGGTATGTCAGTAATGGACAAAGACCAGCTTTAGGGGTCCTCCAGACAAGACTAGTGGCCAGTTCCATGGCTTTTTTGGCACAATTTCTACAGTACAGGTCCTCCTATAAAAATAAAATTAGGAAGACAGCCTGGGTTCACATATATGCGGTGCGGTACATCGCATGTGCAAATTCCTGCGCAAATCACATGTGACTTGTGTGCGGTGCGATTGGAGCCATACGTTTTGTATGGCTCTATTCGCACTGCACACCGCACCAAAAACGTGCAGGACCCTTTTTTTGGGTCCACACAAGAATCCGATTGCATAGGTATTCACACCTATGCGATCTGATTCTGCACATAGCACCGCATTTTGTGGACCGCTTACGGGATGTTAACTTACCATACACAGCCGCAGCGGTTTGCATGAATGGGGTACGATTCGATTGCGGTACGGAATTTGCACTGAAAACGCTGCGAATTCTGCACCGCATCAGTGTGAACCAGGACTTCATTTAGAAAAGGTTTAGATCGAGGTTCTGTGTCCTATATGCCCACATCCAGGAGCGGACTGACCATTTGGAAACTCGGGCACTGCCCGAGGGCCCGGGGTCAGTAGGGGGCCCAATGAGATGCCCCTGGTACCTTTTTCATAGGCTTTTTTGAGTTTCGGCCCCATGATCCCCTATTGCCCGGGGGCCCCATGAGTTGTCAGTTCACCCCTGCCCACATCCTAAAAAATGTATACTGTATATAAGATACCAGGAAAATTGTAGCTACGGGCGTTGCAGGGCATACAGTTACTAGCACCACACTAAATTATAGAAAAGTATAACATTTATTCTACAAACATTAAAAACATATATAGCACCATGTCCAATACTTTTACATAGAGATCACAAATCTTTCTCATCTAGCAATCCATATGTCAGCTCAACGCGTTTCAAGTGATTGAACATTTTCTTCATATGTTGCCTCCTCACTGCCTGTTTTAAAGTGTCACTAAACCCCGGACCCTGCATTCACTATATCTGGTCTCCCACAGTACACACTACATGGAAATGCAATTATTTTAGTAAATATAAACTGCTAAATACCTTTTCTCATCAGAAGTTAGAGCAGTCTTGTGACTTCTATAAGTTTCCAGCCAAGCACTGGGTAAAGCTTGAAGGAGTGTCCATTCTGCTCTAGGAGGATGCAGAACCCCTGACCTCTGTCTGGGCAGTGTTGATTTGCCCTGTGCTGATCACATGCACTCTCCCAAGAAAAAAAAAAAAACAAACCTCTCTAGCAATACACACCAAACTGAACATGTGCAGAGTGACTCCACATGATATGTCTTATTAGGAGTTAAGAAGGGGACATCTGAAGAAGAGGAGGATCAGAGAACACAGGATCACACGGCCTTTTTACACAATGCAGAGGATTAACCCCCTTTAGGTTCCACAGTGAGTATAACAAGAATGGTTTGCTGCATATACAGACGGATTGTACTGTTGTGGGTTTAGTAACACTTTAACCCTGTAAAACTCTCACCAACACACTGCAACATGGGTCACATTCTGTGACTGCCTCCTGGGGGGATGGCAGTGAAAATGTGGCTCAACCCCCTATTTTTACCACCCCAACCACAAATGTATATGAATCCTTGAAGAGTCTTGCTGATGGATTTGTGAAAGATACCATCTAACCATCATTTTAAGGGTGAGCAGTGTATACAGTGCCTACGACCAATGGGCTTTTTTACTGAACTTGATGCTTAAAGTGGAACTTCACTCTCTCAATCAGCATGGACTATTTCTAATCCTTATGCTGTTAGTATTAGTAAATAGAATAAATTATATCATATTTACTTGTTTTTTACCTTTTTTTTGCATTCTTTTATTTATTTCCTGGTTTCCATGCCTAGGCAAATGACAGCATACATCCCAGGAGTCCTCAGGAAGGGAGGGAGGGTTCCCAGCTCAGTCAATGCCTGAGCTAAGATCAGATGGATTCCAGGAAGTAATATCTACATGGATCATCTGCTCCAGGAGGTGTTTTTCAAAATGATTTCTCAGCAAAATAAAGCATGGAGACATGGATGGAGGAGTTTGTTTTGAATATTACAAATTAATTATTTAGCATGTTTGGTTTGTGGTACTCAGAAGCAGTGCAGTTCCATTTCAATTGCTAGTTTTGTAGCCAATACCATGATTTTGTGCTATGAAGATTACCATGATATAAGTCAACCTCAAGCAAGAGGTTCCCTTAACCTCCTTAACGGTATTCCCGAGTGTAGCTCGGGGTAAAATTTCTATACCAAGAGCGGTAACCCCGAGCTACACTCAGGCTTACCATGCGGCGCTGCTCTGGGGGTCCCTGCAGCACTTACCTTGTCCTTCGCTCCCGCGATGTGTCCCCTGCAGCATCCCCAGCCATCTCCTCCGGCCGATGCCGGCATCCGGCTTCCATGTTCCGGTCCCTGTGATGTCGGGACGTACGGGCGCTGGAACCGGCGGGAAATTTGAAATTTTTAAAAAATGTCATTTTTGCTGTCATTGCTGTTTCAATGCATTTCACATATATTTTGTCCCTACTGCTTTGTCCTGTGCCCTGCTGCATTTTGAATGTTCTTTCTGCCTGGAAACTTAGAAAAGTCCATGGCGTCCAAAAAGCGTCCCTTTACGTCAAAAGCGGTTTTAGAACAGCGATAGTAAATCAGAACCACTTGTAGAATTGAGTGATAATGATTCGTGGGGGAAATTCGTCACCAGACACTGAAAACGATTTTGCGACTTTGCTCAGCGATGTGCGAATTTGCCTCTGTATTTCAAATTTCAGTGTTTTTGGTTTGATTATATTATTGAATTAAATTTATTATTATTATTTTATTATTTTTTATGATTATTTATTAAATTATAATTTATGATTTTGTGTTTCAAATTTTATTCATACCCGGGAATGTTTACTAGACTCTTGTTCAGACAGATTTCAGTGAGTTATTCATAAAAATTACAGCCTACAATAAAAAAACTACATATTTCCATGCAAAAAAATGGTACCGCTTTCAGCACAAAAAATTGGAAAGAATCATACCGCCGAGGAGGTTAAAGTGCATCTAAATCCAAAAATGTTGACTTTGAATAGTGAATGTGCTAAAACCCCTGCGGGGGAGATCTGCATTCTGTTTCTCTTCCTGACCTTTGCCTTCAGGGCAGAACTTAATGGCATCTGTGCCGGAGATAACTGTATACAAGGATGTTTCTCCTTTTTGTAGAGAGATTTTCTTTCATTTCCTATTGAGACTTTAGAACGGGAGGTGATGGGAACTCTCCTCAATGGGATACAGACACTAAAAGACAATCTGACAAGGGTTTAGTCTACTCTATCCAAAACAGAAGACTTAGACTTGACTTTAGATATACTTTATATATGTTGGACCCTCCTTTATGCCTTCAATCACCTTCTCTGCTGCCGCTTCTATGGTGCCTACGTGTCCAATCACCAGAGACCAGCGCTGTCATGTAACGGTGGGGAAAGATCTCTTCATCTCATATTAGTTCCACGTAAAAAGACTTGGACCTTACACTGGGATTCTTCTTGATTTAATGATTGAAAAGGTGTGGGAGGCAAGCTATGGTAAGTATATGTGTCCTACAGTGCCAACATTTATTTAAAGAGGAACTGAACTATAGAAACCGTGCCCAAAAAAACAAAAGAAAAAAGTGAACCAAGGACAAAAGACTACAGTAGTCACCAATACTGCATGTGGTCTCCCTGTAGTTGATCTTTTTCCAGTCCTAATTTACCATGCCTCTGCATTGTGCGTCTGTGTGAAGTGCCATCTTGGCTTTGTTTCCTTGTGTTGAAGATGCACAAGAAGAGTAAGAAGCACAGACATTCCCAAATCCCACTCCAAATCTGCTAACAGTAGCAGTGAGAGGCAGCAGTATCAGAGATCTCGCACTACAGATATATAGCTATGAGGATGTACGACAGGAGTGCCTAGGCACGCTCACATATCAGGAAGTGCTCTGCTATTTTTCAGGATGTATACTGATCAAAGGGTAAATTTTCAGAGTACTGTTTAGGCACAATTATCATTTCTAGATAATCCCTATAACGTAGCTTAGCTTTTTGAGTTAATTTCCATTTTCCATGTGACACTAAGGTTTCACGTTTTTTTTCTTAAAATAACAAAAATGTCTATACTTATTTTCTCTGTGCAGTGGTTTTGCACAGAACAGCCCCAATCCTTTGCCTTTTGGGTCTCCCCGGGCACTCTTGGCTCCCCCTACTGAGTAGTGCCCTCAAGGAAAGCAGCTAGCCCTGGGGGCACCGTCATGTGCTCGTCCCTGAGCCGCTGCTCTACGCATCCATAAGACACATGGAGCTGTGGCTCTGCCCCATCCCCCATTCTCTCCTCATTGCTTCACTGGCTGTGATTGACAGCAGCGGGAGCCAATGGGCTCCTGCTGTTGTCTCAGCTAATGTGGAGGAAGATTTCCCACACAGCAAAGGTTGTCGTGAATGTCACTGGATCGGAGGGGGCTCAGGTAAGGATTAGGGGTGCCACTGCACACAGAAGGTTTTTTTACATTCATGCATAGAATACATGAAGGTAAAAAACCTTGAGCCTTTACAACCACTTTAAGTTGTGCCATGAATGGTTCACTTTAAACAGGAGGTCGGTGACCTGTCGATCACGATTTACCTGTGGGGGAGCTCCAGCGCACAGCCTGTGATTGACAGCCTCAGCTCTGATCCTGTGTGCTCTGTGAAGGGGGGGTGTGTCCCTTCCCTCCAATCAAATCTAGAGATAGGACTGCACTATACAGAGGGACCTTGATGAGGCAGTGTGGCTTACACATACAGTTGTGTTCAAAATAATAGCAGTGTGTTGAAAAAAGTGAATAAAGCTCAAAATCCTTCTAATAGCTTTTATTTCCATACACACAAATGCATTGGGAACACTACACATCCTATTCCAAATCAAAACATGAAGAAAAATAGATCAAATTTGTGTTGTTCCTCTAAAAAAAATGAAGAAAAGTGAATATTAGACTGTTCAAAAAAATAGCAGTGTTTGTATTCCTTCTTTACAAACTCAAACATTCACTATACAAACTGAAAAATGTTTGAAGATTTTGCTTTCCTTTGAATCACTTAATGAATATTTCGTAGTATAAGCACTGTTTTCTGAGAACTGCTGTACATCTGTGTTGCATGGAGTCAACCAACTTCTGGCACCTGTGAACAGGTATTCCAGCCCAGGATGATTGGACTACATTCCACAGTTCTTCTCTATTCTTGGTTTTGCCTCAGAAACTGCATTTTTTATGTCACTCCACAAGTTTTCTATTGGATTAAGAACCGGGGATTGGGCTGGGCACTCCATAACGTCCATCTTGTTGGTCTGGAACCAAGATGTTGCACGTTTACTGTGTGTTTGGGGTCGTTGTCTTGTTGGAACACCCATTTCAAGGGCATTTCCTCTTCAGTATAAGGCAGCATGACCTCTTCAAGTATTCTGATGTATTCAAACTGATCCATGATCCCTGGTATGCGATAAATAGGCCCAACACCATAGTATGAGAAACATCCCCATATCATGATGCTTGCACCACCATGCTTCACTGTCTTCACAGTGTACTGTGGCTTGGGAATTCAGTTTTGGGGGTCGTCTGACAAACTGTCTCCGGCCACTAGACCCAAAAAGAACAATCTTACTTTCATCAGTCCACAAAATGTTGCGCCATTTCTCTTTAGGCCAGTCAATGTGCTCTTTGGCAAAAATTGTAACCTCTTCAGCACATGTCTTTTTTTCAACAGTGGGACTTTGCGGGGGGCTTCCTGCAGATAGCTTGGCTTCACATAGGGGTCTTCTAATTGTAACAGTACTCACAGGGAACTTTACACCTCTTTCATCTTCCTGGAGCTGATTGTTGGCTGAGTCCTTGCCATTTTTGGCTATTCTTCTATCCCATTCGAATGTTAGTTTTTCGCTTTCTTCCACGTCTTTCAGGTTTTGGTTGCCATTTTAAAGCATTTGCGATCATTTTAGCTGAGGCAGCCTATCATTTTCTGCACTTCTTTGTATGTTTTTCCCCTCTCCAATCAACTTTTTAATCAAGGTACGCTGTTCTTCTGAACAAATGGTCTGGAACGACCCGTTTTCCTCAGAATTATAGAGATAAATGCACTGTAAACCAGCATGTACAACATTTGCTGCCTTCTTCCTTAAATAAGGGCAATAATTGCCACCTGTTTTTCAAAGAATGAATGACCTCACTAATAGACTCCACACTGCTATTATTTTGAACATGCCCCTTTCAATTAGTGATTCAATTACACAGAATCAGCAGCATGCATGTCATAACTGTTGGGTCAGTTGGATTTCTATTACTCTACTACACCTG